GAATGGGTCGGCTCGACCGGGGAAGGACCACGCTCTCACGGAATACCAGCGTAAAATAGCAGCTTAACACTGCTGTGTTTCGTATGGTGACTGTAAAGAAGCGCAGACCCTTTTTACTGGAAAAGAGGCATTCCATCTTAGTCCTCACAGGTGACAACGAATCCGACTTTTGATTCGCAAACGCAGATAGATGTAGATGTCTATAGGCTACAGCAACCACTTACCATCAGGTGGACTGTGTGCTCGTTTGTCACCCTATTCTATAAAAAAAGTCAATCTAAATTAGATTGACTTTTTTTTTTGAATGGGGTATATTAGAGGTAAATTAAATTAAAAAAAATCATTTATTTCGGAACGAGTCTATATCAAAATTCATATATACACAATTTTATATGAATTCCATTAAAAAAAAAATCATTTAAATTAAATTATTGCAATTAAATGCTCCAACCTATTCTACAGTTGCACATTAGTGCTGAATAGTAGTAAACCTGGAAGAACATCCATGAAGGATGACCCCCCATAATTTCGACAGGTAGTGTGCATAACAGTTTACATTAATGCTTGGGGATGAAAAATATATCCGTTGGGTATCCAAAATGCTTACCAACGCGCAAAAACAAACCCGAATGAATATTTCCCGAGGTTATGATTTCATTAGTTTTGGGATTTAGCAACAGGATCTTCATCGTTTATTGGCTTGATATACACTAATAGGCAAATAGGTCTATGACTTAGAGAAAACCATTCATCTCCAACTAAGAAATTCAAGATATGCCCTTCCGCTGGTAGTATATTTAGGCGGTTTTTTTTTCCTGGGGTAGTCAATAGGTAGTAATGATTGAATATCTATATAATAATATATCTATAATAAGAATAAATATTAAATTGAGTAACTCGCAGATTGTTTTTTTTTTTTCACCAAGATTACGCCCCAGTTCACAGTTTGCCGTCCCCATGGCGGCAATTTAACATGCTGGCTTAGAAACACATGAGAATCCTTTATGTCTAGTGACAGTTGTTGAAGGTGATGTAATAGTAATTGTTGCAGTACATACAGGGCACCTACAAACTCATTTGTGCTCAAGATGAAAAGTTCTTTAAGAAAGAAATTATAAGCTTAGCAAAGGATATTCCTAAATAAAAATTAATATAACATTATTTCTCACTTTTTATTGAACACTTCTCGTAAATTCAATTTTTACTTAATAAATCAAATTATTTACTATATAATAGTTTTATATTCTACTAAATGATAAACTCGCAACATTTATGAAAAGAAAAATATATTTATTGCAGGTACAGTATGGTGCTTAAATCTGATACTTCTTACCATACAGGACTTGTGATGTCAGTATGTTCAGCTTTTGTTTGGCAAATGGATGGACCACGGCAAAAATTGTAAGCTTACAGCAGCAAATTACCATACAATTAAATTATTACTTATACACTCTTACTCTTAATTTAAAATATATTCAGTTCATTCTCTCACAGGCCTCCTCTCATTTCTAAAGCGATAAGTTTGCTGCGCTGTTATAGTGCAAGTTCACATACTCCCACATGTCCTCAAAATATTGCATAATGTGGCAATCACAATATGTATAATTGATGTAAAGCTAACTGTATGATTTCAAATATAGTTTTGGGCATAGAATTTGATTATGAAAATCATTACTAGAAATGATCAATATTATTTATGCTATTTTGGCATAAGACTATATGCATATGTGTGACATATGCACATAGTCATATAAAATATCAGGAACACCTCTTTCTTGGCCTGCAGATAGCCATCTCAAATATTCAGACTAGAAGTGGGGAGCTTTTTGTATGGTGTGCAGCAAAATAATGAATACCAGCGTGAAATAGCAGCTTAACGCTGCTGTGTTTCATATGGTGAGTGTAGAGAACCGGAGGCCCTTTTTACTGGAAAAGAGGCATTCTATCATAGTCCTCACGGGTACAACGCATCTGCATTTTAATTCGCAAACGAATATAGATGTAGATGTCTATGGGCCACAGCAACCACTTACCATCAGGTGGACTGTGTGCTCGTTTGTCACCCTTATTCTATAAAAAAAAATCTTGTGCTGTTAGCAGCTATTCTGCAAATCATGCGTGGACATTATGGGCTGATGCATCTTTTTAAAAATTACTAATTAGGGGTTTAGTGTCCAGTTTTGGTTATCATCAAAATTTGATAAAATACTGCTCTGTAAATATTTATCATGAAAAAGTTCTTAATTATCTTGTCATTATATTTTGTTGTTCCTTATAAAAATTAATAATTAAAAATATACAATACATTCTGAATAAAAACTAAACTGTTTTTTTTCCAGGAGATATTATGAAGCACTATCTGCGTTAATTTTTACAATGGCTTTATTTGTACTAGTCTTAGGCATATTTTCATTGTTTATTGTAAACTATGGTGTGACTCTGATATTTGCATTAATAACAATTCAGCAGTTGTGGGATTATGAGGAAAAATCTAATGACGAAACTAATGATGTAGCTAAAGATGATACAAATGATGCCCAAAATGAAAAAGTTGTTGAAGAAAGCCATTGTAAACCAAAAGAAAATAACTCACAATCTCAAAGTGATTTATCAAATGAAACATCTCAAAGTAGAGAAGGTACAGATGAGAATGATAAAAGTAAGGAAGAGATAAGAGACCAAACAATAGAAGACTGTAATGTCTGTAGTGAAAATAGGATATACAATGTTTTTAAACACCTCAGAGATAAATTTAGCTTTAATAGTGATATCCCATAATTATGTTAATTTTGTTTAATTCTCAACTAAACCTTTGACTCAGATCCACAAGACCCTTGTTATAGGTATATACCAAATGTTTGTATTTGATAAAGTTAGTTCCTAAATGTATTTCATTTTCAAGAGATTTTCAGTCACTTTATAATTACATAATATTTGAGATTATTTTAATGTAAAACACAAATATATTTTACAATTCGTACATAACATTCTTTTCATTTAAAACACCTTCATTTTGAATTATTGGAATTACATAATGTATATGTATACTAAATAGTTACAAGAGGCATTTGTATGATTAATAAATATAGTTAAACCTAATTTTGGTAAAACAGAACTTACTTCTGTGTAATCCAAATAATAAGTCTTAACTTGCAACTCTGTATAGTGAAAGGTATCATAAATTTATACCAAAATAAAAAGTAACAAACTATGAATGTTCCACTGCTGTGCAAAGGTCTTTTCCTATGGAATGTAAGAAATGGCAAAATGCATTTCAGGAGATATCATATCATGTCCTGAAAAAAATTCTTTATTTCTTACAGTTGTAGGAATCCTCAATATGTTTTTCTTAACCAAGCTACAAGTGGATCAGCATATTATATTATTCTTCTTCAGTGATAAATATTTTATTGGTGCTGATACCAGTAATGTGTTTTATGTAGCTTGCATTTTACGTAAATTAATGTAAGCACCGAAAATACCTCAAATATGCCATGATCTCTTCCAAAAAACAAAATAATTATAATTAATAATTCTTCTTTAAAATATCATTTATTTAAAAAAAATCCTTTACAGAACAATGTCTGAAGGAATTCACTATGAAATAATGAAAATAGATAGATGATGATAGATGTCTGAAAGAAATTCACACTGAAATGTCACTTATCAGCATATTTATTTGTTCATTTATTTATTACCTGCCAGCCTTAGCCCTTACTTATAAAATTACATTGACAAACAAGCAAACAATGCATAGTCACCCTATGATATTGATATGATATATAGGTGCCGTATCAACCATGTCAATGATACGGGGCCCCCTTACTACAGAGGCCCCAAACATGTGTAAGCAAAAATTCTAAGGACTTCTATGGGACAGAATGTTGGTTTGAATTGTTTGGCTAGCTTAGTTCCTAGGGGTATTAATTGTAAGTAATAACTTATAATCAATATATAATTATTTTGATTCAATGCAAGTTTTTGTTCCTTTTGTGAAAAATCTTTACCCTTCATTTGGGCCCCTACAACAAATTTTGATACAGGGCCGCACTAAGGCACACTACTCCACTGTGATACAACCAACTTTACAAAGAAAACTGTAGGTGAAGATGAAATGCTAGGGCTATAATTATACTGGCTTGTTTCAGTACAAGGCTAGCATTTGAAAACTTCTTTTACCCATCAGCAGGGAGAGCATACCACTATGGGATTAAAATGTAGAAAAGCATAGATTTCAAGAAAGAAATGTTATTTTTTGAGGTTATGTCTGCAAAAAATGGGAAGATTCCTCCAAGGAAAAATGAAATTCTGAAAAATATAATTTTTAACCATTACCTTTACCTTTATCAAAGTCCACTTATGAACATAGGTTTCCCTAACAGGGAACATAGGTTTCCTCACATAGGGGGGATATTTGCTATAGTTGCCAGGCTTGGCAACTGCAGTTTTTTATTTTCAGTTAAACCTCAAACACCAACATAAAGTGAAAAAACAAAATAATGGGTAACATTGTACTAGACTAGGCAAATGTGATGTGTTTTGCTTTTTGTTCTTATTGTTTGTTATATTGTATGACATTTGTCATTTTGAGTTTTTTGTACAGTTTCATTACATTTTTACTAACTCCTACTTATTATGAAAATATGAACCTGTTATCTGGGGGTGCTGTTTCTAAGGCTGAGCTTTGCTTAATTATGTTGGCCGTTTTATTCCAGTATTTAATTAATGAAATGACAACCTAGTAATATGTGCAGGAAGTTGATGGATGCAGGTGTCTCAGGATCATGTAGGTCCTGTATTTTGGCTTGGGGAAGATATTCAATATTCAGTAGTGAACATGTGAAGGGCTGTAGTGATGATGATGATTAATTAATAAAAGTAACAATTCAAAAATACAAGTTGTTATAATATATACTTTAAAAAATAAAAGCATTTTAAAACTTAATATATATTTAATGGAATAACGCAATTGAAAATCAAACATACATTCTCAAATGGTCTTATTTCTTCCCTTTCTTCCCCACTGGCTTTTCTTCAGTGTTTTTGGGGTTTTGCCAATTTAATGGATTTCGTCGGTACATAGGCCACGGTGGCACTGTCAGAATGGCAGCTAATATAAATCCGGCTCCAAGAATGTACACGGATTGAGAAAACTGTTGAACTATATATCCCCAAATAAAACCGACAATGCTGAAAAGTGTGATGATTGCTCTGTACAATTTCTCTGCTTTTGCTTGACCAACGTAATCAATATGTGTTGGAATTGATGAAAAGAACTCCATTATTAATAAACGCACTGTTTCTTCAACTTTCTAAAGAGAAACGATTTGGTTTCATTAGATTTTGATGTAAATTTGATTTGACAATGACAATGGACAACAATGACACGTCAGGATTTTGCGTTAGACTCTATGGCTCGTAGTGATCCTCATAAATCGAGTATCGATACCTGATTTTGTATCTTTGGGATTCTTTAGGATTTCACTTATTTTAAGTAAAATTACGTAATAATAAGTAGGAGTAAGTATCAAAGATCAACACGAAGGAGAAAAAGATAAAAAGGAGCTGTACCTTGCGAATCCAATTTCCCCTTTAAAATCTGATACCTTCAGGCGTGGGAACAGTAACAGATGTGGGTAGATATAAAGTCAATATTTCCAAAGTTCTATGTAATGGTCAGAAAATATCTGATTGTGCCAGGAACATCAGTACCTTCAGAACGATTGTTCACAAAAGCTGGCGTAATAATGTCTGAAGCCCGAAATCATCTCATTGGTTCGACGCTTGACTAATTATTATTTTTAGACTGGGAGTTTAACAGATTCTTCTTTGTATTCTGTTATATTGTAAGTAAACATATAAAACTAACTATTTGGCATGTTAATTTCTTCGCGTAAAAAAAATCAAAAAGTAATCGATACCAAGTAGTATCGATACTTTTGATAGGATAATTTTACCATCATCGATTCTTTAGATACGATACTTTTATAGGTATCGATACTTTTAATACGATAGCTGGCACCGAGTAGGTATCTTCAAAGTAGTAGATACTTCAAAAATTTTGCGGATCATTGCTCATGCTAGCAATGTGTGAATTGAATTATTTGAATCTAGTTACTTGAATTCACGCGGTATCCCACGTATACGGTGTACTAGTGGATCACGACCCGCTCCGTGCATTCCACTTAACTCGAATCGAGTTAAAGATAGCAAAGGCATGCGCATTACCCGCGGGCGATTAATTATTTATAGAATTAATTTTATTTGCATTATTAATTATTACCTAAAAACTGAAAAATTATGCCATAAATACTTCTAAGATTATATTATACTTCAATATTAAAATATTTTTGATTGCAAATACCGTAAAATTTTCGTTTATAACATACGTACTTACTTTGTTTTTTTTTGTTATATTATTAATTATTGATGTGCTTGTACTGCAATTCAATGTTTAATGCGTAAGAAGTCTTAGACTGGTGAATGCATATTCTTGCCCCTTGCTTTTGTATATTTTTAAATGTGTGTATCAAATAAATAGTATCTTCTTTTTATCTTTCTTACTTCTTCTGTCTTACACCTCTCTGCAGTTGAATAGCTTTCGTACTCTGGTTCTGTACTCGGATAGCCATCGTAGCCCATTTGTACAAACACTTCAATACTTCGATATATCGACAGTCAACTTGGCAACGTTTAGGGGCTGTAGCACCGCCCAAATTTCGATGGATTCAAAGGCTTTCTCATAGTCCACATACGCAAGGTGACAGATTGTACTCTTCGGTCTTTCATCTTCTGTACACTTTGCCGAAGAGTATGTATATGGTCTAGAGTACTAAATCCTTTTCGAAAACCACCTTTTTCGTGAGGCTGGAGGTCGTCGACTCGGTGCAAATCGATTCGCACTGATTCTCGAAAACAGCAAATATATGCGGCTTAGAATGGAAATCAGCCTTTAGTTCTTCAAGAAAGTGTTGTTGCCTTTCTTGAAGAACAAAACCACTGCACCTCTGTTCCACGACTCTGCAGCAGTACCATCATGGAAGACCGAATTGAACAGCTTCTGAAGGACTTCAAGTACTGGTTTTCCACCCGCTTTTAGAAGTTTCACTGCAATTTCATCCTCACCCAGGGCCGTGCCGTTATTAAGTTGCTAGAGAGCCATTCTAATCTCGCTCAGACTAACGTCCGAGATATTATCGGAATATTATCGAATAAGAGCAAGACTTGCTCTTGGATCATTACTTACACTTGAGTGTGCCTTCAACGATGACGGGTACAGCTGCCCGTAGAACCTCTCAATCTCAGTTGAAATCTCAGGTGTCCCAGAATGATACTACCATATTCGGTCTTCAGCTTCGACATTTGGCTCTTTCTGGTAGACAGGTCTCTAGCAAAGACTTAAGAGCATGGCTCTTGAGATATCCTCATATATTTTCTCCACGTTGGTGCGTAAACCTGTATGACTCAGCAAATATCGTTTAGTGATTCTGAGTATAAGATACGCAACTGCGCTAGCATTTCTTATTAGTTTGTGTACGCAACTCTCATTGGACGATAAGCCCAACACCTTTTTGGGACAAATGGTCGTTCTCCTGGTTGAATAAAACTATTTTTACGGATTTTATCGCGTTTAATTAACTTATTTTATATTTCCGACGTTTCGGTTGCTTTCCAGCAACCGTGGTCACGGGGGACTGACGTTTCGGTTGCTGGAAAGCAACCGAAACGTCGGAAATATAAAATAAGTTAATTAAACGCGATAAAATCCGTAAAAATAGTTTTATTCAATGTGTAGTGTTCGCGTAAATATTAGAAATCATTACGTTCTCCTGGTGATAGAAGTTGCTGGATTCTAGGATTACCGTGTTTTCCCCCTCTCTTCGGACTACTAGACTAGAGTATATACGCTATACATAATAAAATTATATTTGATTGACGCCTTTTATATTATGTATGTCCACCTTAGAAAAAGTCGTTAGTAATAATAATAATAATAATAATAATAATGATAATGACGGAGCGCATAGACGACCTGAAGCAGAGAATCGCTGCTTGGGGGAAGCGGATTCGGCGATATACCGAGAGGTCAACACGGTTCAACCAGAATCGTCTCTTCCAGAGTGATCAGAAGAGGCTCTATGAATCATTGGAGCGACCAATGGTACGTGGAACGGGCCCAGCACCGAATCAGGCCGACACTATCGCATTCTGGCGCGGCCTGTGGTCAGAGCCCGTAAACCACAGTGAGGGCCCTTGGACGGAAGTTGTGGCGAGTCAGTGTGCGAATGTTACGCCCATGGACCCCGTCATCATTACGCCGGATGACGTAGCTGAGGCGGTCCGTAGGGCCCCGAACTGGAAAAGTCCGGGACTCGACGGACTGCATCACTACTGGCTGAAGGGGTTCGTGGTGTGTCACGCTGTTCTCGCCCGACAGTTTCAAGAGGCTCTCGGCCAAAAGTCGCTCCCGAGCCTCTTCACTACTGGGATCACTCATCTGGTTCCTAAAGACCGAGATTCCACAGACCCGAGCAAATACCGCCCCATAACGTGTCTACCTACCATATACAAGACACTGACATCCATTTTGAGCGCGAGAATCACTCGTCACCTGAACTCAAATCAGGTGATGTCGCGCGCTCAAAATGGATGTCGGGGCGGCGGTCGTGGAACCAAGGAACCACTCCTCATTGACGCGGTCATTGGCAAGGTGGTTAAACGCAACCGTCGGAACCTCTCCGCCGCCTGGATAGACTACAAAAAGGCATTCGACTCGGTGCCTCATACATGGCTGAAGAGGGTCCTCGAGCTGTACAAGGTTGACTGTACAGTTCGAGACTTCCTCGGGCAGTGTATGGGGCAGTGGAGTACGATCCTTTGTCATCTAGGCGAGCGGATGACGGCTGCGGAGAACCACATAAGGATAAGAAGGGGTATCTTCCAGGGCGATTGTCTGAGTCCAATCTGGTTCTGCCTCTCTCTGAACCCTCTTAGTACCTTACTGGAGGGTTCCGGGAGGGGATTTCAGCTTCGGAGAGGAGGTACAAAAGTGACCCACCTTTTCTATATGGATGATCTCAAGTTATTCGCCTCCAGTCGCTCTCATCTTATGGAATTGCTAAACATCACTTGTGATTTTAGCAATTCTATTAGAATGGAGCTGGGGACGGATAAGTGTGCGATCCTCCATGTCGAAAGGGGTAGGGTTGCTAACTCTGAGGGCATAGACTTATCTATGCCCATCAACATAAAGACCCTATCCGAGGCTGAAACATACCGATACCTGGGTATGTCACAGAACATAGGTATCGATGAGGCGGACATGAAACGGTCAGTTTGCGGTGTGTTTTATGCACGCTTGACAAAAGTGCTCAACAGTCTTTTGTCGGGCGTTAATAAGACACATGCATATAACGGTTGGATCATGCCTGTTCTCATGTATACCTTTGGCATGCTCAGGTGGACTCAGACCGAACTGAACGCTCTGGACAGAAAAGTCCGCACTATAATGACGTCCCACAGGATGCATCATCCGAGATCGTCAGTAATGAGGCTGTACTTGCCGCGGAAGCATGGTGGGCGCGGCTTTTTAAGCGCGCTTACCATGCATAATCGCGAAGTGTGCAGCCTCCGTAATTACTTTCTGACGAGAGCGGATGATCCATTCTATAGGGACGTTATTTCTTGTGATAAAGGACTTACCCCTCTATCCTTAGCCAACGAGCAATGGCAAGACCCGGCAGTACAGAGCATTTCCGACCGGGAGACCGTATGGAAGGAGAAGGAGCTCCACGGGAGGTTCTACAAGGCTCTACATGAGCCTTGCGTAGACACAGTCGCCTCCCTCCACTGGCTACGTTTCGGTGACCTCTTTGGGGAAACCGAGGGTTTTGTCTGTGCGATACAGGATCAGGTTATTAAGACCAACAATTATCGGAGATACATCCTAAAGGATGGCGCCGTCGACATCTGTCGAGCTTGTCGCCATCCCGGTGAGTCACTTAGGCATGTCATCTCCGGTTGTTCGGCGCTTTCTAACTCTGAGTATTTGCACAGACACAACCTAGTAGCCAGGATTCTACACCAGGAGCTCGCTCTGAAATACGGTCTCGTGGATCGGAAACTGCCATATTATAATTACTTGCCGGAAGCCGTGCTCGAAAATGACCGCGCCAGGCTCTACTGGGACCGGGCCATCATCACGGACAGGACTATTCTTGCGAATAAACCTGATATTGTGCTGATGGACCGGGCACAGTCAAGGATATTTTTGGTCGACATT